TCTACCAGGAAGTCACTGATCGCTACCCCACAAGAGACGTGTACTGGGCAGCTATATGAGCGCCTGGGTGTGACGAAGCTAAATGTTTTGGTGCCGTGAAGCTCGTTAGCCCATCAAAATTAAAAAAAATAAATAAATCCATAAATTAGCCGCAACATTGTATAAGCCGCCGTGTTCAAAGCATGTGAAAAAAGTGGCGGCTTATAGTCCAGAAATTACGGTAACCATAAAACCTAGAACGTCACAGAATATGTTAAAATGTATAAAATAACTGAAAAAACTTTACGGAATTAGAAAAATATGTATTTTGAAGCGGGTAAAGATCATGGATAGATGGATGATTTGGATCATCACATGCGACACAGATTCATGTTAATGTAATACAAAAAAATAACTTACAACGGTGTCCAAGTCCAACATTTGCTCTCCACTGGCAGCGTTTCCATCGTGCAGTTTCCCCGTCCCTCCCTGCATTTCACTGATGAGTACATGGAGGGTGGCTGCAGCCGCATCCTTCTTAGCGACCTTCTTACTAGAAGCTTCAGTGATGGGAAACAATCTGCCATTGAGCATCACCTGCATACGAAATCTAACAAGAGAAGAGAAATTATACACTAGATAAACACAAACCAGTACATAATAAACTGAAGGTAAACTTTACAAAGATTACTGTGTCACATAATGACCAAGTCATTTTCATAAATCCATTTTATGTAGTTTTATGTTGCTTTTTTTTACAGGTTTACAGGCTAAATGTACCCCCTTAACATCCTCAAAACAAAAAAAACTCTAGTGTGGTGCCTTTGGCTGGTAAAGTCAATTTAAAACTCTGATCCTAATCGTCTTCTGAGCAGGTTTTATGAGCAACGTGACACCACACAATTTCAATAAATAAATAAATGCAAGTAGTTTTTATTATCCTGTATCAAGCAAAACTTCACAGAACAAGATCAAATAACAAACCTTGGGTCGTGCGAGGGTCCCGACTGGTCGAGAAGCAAGAACTCACAGTTCTGGCCCAGGTATTGGGCATACTCCATGAGAGCACTGACGGGGTTCTTCAGCTTCACCTCCTGTAACTTGGCCCACAGATTTTGGGGAGGGGCTGCAGCAACGGACACAGCAACCGTTCCCAGAACATTGGTCTTGTGTTCTGCCATTTTCAGAGCGTCGGCCTCTCTGCGAATGGCATTGAGGAATTCTGGGATGTCGTCAGTGGCCCACTGCTCCTCCTCTAAGGTCTCTTCTTTGGATGAAGTTATGGAGGTTTGCTAAGACAGGAAAGAAAGAGGACAGACAAAATTGAAACTAAAAGTAAATCTTCAAGGCTGTTGGCGTTAGCTTGAATTTACAGCAGGATAACGGATGATTTACTTAAACATCAGTACCAGGCGTTCCAACCTCAACATCCTCACTGATGGTCAGTTTCCAATTTTCATGCCTCTAACAGACTTGCTGCTGTACTTTAGGTTTAAAACAGGCAGCTCAGTGTTTTGATTTGCTCATACATTACTGGTCTGTGGTTTGTTTTTGTTTTTTAAGTCAGGTCAGTCAACACAGACCACATAACTCAAGCAAGAAGCCTGAACACAGGATTAACATAATCCCTGCAAATTCATGTAAATAAATAAATAAAACAAAGAAACAAAAAAACGACCCTGTGCTCACACTTGCTCATTATTGGTGTAACGGTACATGTGGGTGTACTGAACCCTTTCGGTACAGCCTGTTCGGTCCACGTGCGCACCGTTTTGGTTATTTTTTTCACTCATTAAATTTTATTAACGAGAGATTATGCGCCGCGGAACTAAAGTTCCTAAGCGTGTTTCAGCACGGTACTATTAATTGTTGCATAATCTTACAGCACGCGTATAATTAGCAGCCTAGCAGGAGACCCTTTCATGTCGTTGCAGTCTCCTCTTTGGGAACATTACGGCTTTCTTGTCAAAACTCAACAACGGGAAAAGACAAGTGAACAAATCCAAAGCTGTGTGTTGACGTTGTTTCAAGGAGATTGGATCTGCAGCAGGCAACACGTCTAACTTGTTAACGAGCTTGAAACAACATCATCTGAATGTGAACGTCTCTTTTAGCAGCTTGGTGCAAACACAGCAGCATTTAAACAACCTTTATCAGGTAATTCAGATTGGTCCAGAGCAATAACACAAGCTGTAGGAGTTTTTAAAGCTTTGGATCTACGTCCGATGTTGAAGCGCCGGCTTTAAACATATGATTAAAGTTCTTGAGCCCCGATGTTTACGACATCCCACCATGTCAACACTTCAGCCAAAAAGTTATAGCAGCACCTTACGAAAAAGTTAAAACTGATCGTCAACAAGCTTGACCCCAGATTTAAAGACCTGCCCTGATATTGATGAGCAAGAGGATATTCAACCACCTCATATCAGAAATGATGACCGTGCAAGAAGAGGTAATCTTATTGTATTATTGTGACCTAATTAACTTTTTTAATTGAAAATTATAATCTTATTAACTAAATTGTTTTGAACTCTTTGTGTTTGCAGTCTGAGTATGTCACCGAGAGCTGAGTCTTCTTCCTCTTCAGGGAATTTTTTTATTTATTTTTATACAAACATGTTTTCAAAATAAACATTTTGTAAGTCTTTATTTTGGCCTTTTTTGTACCGAAAATTATCCAAACTGAGCCCTCCTTGAAACTGAACGAACCAAAATGTGATTTTAGCGTACCGTTACACTCCTACTGCTCATAAAACAATATTCAATCAATTAAACTACATCGCTAGTCCAGAAGATCATTCAGACAGACAAGTTTCACTGTGGCTATAATTATGAGATTTAGCAGCAAAGATTTATTATTATTGTTTCTGTGGGTATTTTTAAACATTAACATGGAAACAAGAAGGTTACTACGGTAACCTTTATATTTACAGCCCAGTGCGCGCTCGCATATCGTGCATATTACTTTTAATATTAGTTGCAGGAAACACATTTTAAAGAAAAATTGACTTTTTTTCAGCTCATAATTGCCAGATGTTTCAAAATACAAAATAGTTATCTACATGTCATTAAACAAATTAAACCATTAAAAGCAAAACACTTACAACTTGACCTACTGTGTTATTTTGACTTTGCTGTTGCATCCAGTCGTCCAGTAGTGGTATTGGCTCGAGGCCTGGTGCAGGTGACAGAGATGATAAAACGATGGCGTCTTCTTCTTTTTTTACTTTGACCCCCATCTGATCCTCCACGGTGCTCTGTGCAGCTTTCAGGCTCCTCTCCATCTTCTCTTTGCGGTGGGGGGAAAGAGACCACTTAAAAGGCATAAAGTCAGTATCCCTAATGACGTCGCCTTGCTGCTCCAGAGTGTTAAGGGTATGACTGACCTGCTTGGCAGTCTTAAGGCCAATATTTTTTGCTATGATAAGAGACGTTGCATCACCTGACTCCAGAAGATACTGCAAAATTTGCTCCTTTTGGTCTGCCATAATGGGACAATTAAGCTCCTGATTAGCAGTGAAATATATTACAGAACTTTCTTCCTGTATGTGCTGACCTTCTGCTGATGATGGAGATTCTTCAGAGTCGGCTAACTCTAAAGATGAACTGTAAGAAGAACTGGATTCTGTGTCCGAATATTCTTCTTTGGCTTGTGCCTTGTTTTCTGTTTCTGGATCAACCTTGGCTTCAGCGTTTTGTGGATCTTGTGTACTAAGTTGCTGATGGAGAGGTGGACTTCTTGCCTCAGAGATTTGATTTTCCTCAGCTCTAAATGTGTCTAAATACAAAGTCCACTTAGGAGGTGTGAGCCCTTGCTTGAAGACTTTCTGTGAGGCTTCCAAAGAATACAGAGCTTGGTTTATGATCTTCTTGGGCAAATCAAGTTTTTTGGCCAAGATTTTAGCAGGAATACTCTCCCCTGGCTTCAAAGCAGCTAAAGCTCTTTGCACCTGGTCCTGTATTTCATGAGTAAAAGTTATGTTTCTTTTATTTACTCTTGAACTTGCAGAGCTACTGGATGAAGAATGTCTGTCAAACCCTTTACTGTTGGACCTGTTATGCTGAAGAGACAAACTCTGAAAATTGTCACAAAGAGAGCTTGTTTGAACACATCCCTGTCTGTTGTTTTTGGTTTGTGACTGGTTTTGATATAGGTGTCGAGGGGCTGGAGTCCCTCGTGATGCTCCTGAACCTGATAAGTGTGCAACACTCTGCTTTTGGTTATGGCCCCTTTTGCTCCTTGGGTTGCTACTGGGGTGAATGTATCTACTATACCCTGAATGGGGCTGGTATGAGGATCTTGGTGGCCAGCCTAATGCTGCCCCTCTTCCTTGTGAACTGGCTCTAAACTGTGGGGCCTTGGAGATCTGTCCTTTCAGGAATTCTGCTTGTTTAAGATGAAATGAATTGGGAACTGGACTGCCGCTGTGATTTTGTGAGTAATCAAAGGTCAAAGGAGTGGAGACCACATCGCTGTGGTTTGGTATAAGAAGGGCAGGGGGGAGGAGTGGAGCGGGCGGCTGTACAGGACGAGCAGGACTGTTGTAATAATTTAGATTTGGGAATTGCTCTGATTCAGCTCTGGGAGGGAATGGGGCTGGACCAGGTCTAGAGTAGTTCTCTTTAGCCTGCAGGTAGGGTGGATGATGTCTGGAGTACTGTTCCTTATTAGACCCTCCTCTACCTCTGCTCATAGCGCAGAGGTTGAGCAAAAAAGGGGGCGGTGCAGCTCAATGTGCAGCTTCAGTATGTACTTGAACTCCAGCAGAAAACAAAACAGGTGGACTGTCAGGTCAGGATGGCTGCACGCTGAAACCACAAGAAAAACAAACAGAAAAAAGTCAGAATAGAATTATTGTATAATTTTATAATACAATAACAAAAATGAAGAAAATAAGATGGGCCCACGAGGGCAACGAAAACGGCCATTTAAAATAAGTTCAGCATCTGCTCTGCGTTCTTGAATAAGTCAGAGAATCTTTACAGGCTCAAAGACACAACTGCTCGCCAGACTGCAAAAACTAAACGTCTGATAATCATAGAAAATTTGAAGAACACATGCAGAGCTTCTCATCCCAGCCACTGCAACATTGGATGTGTTTCTGTTTATATTTTCAGATTATTTTTCAATCCGTTTCCAAGAATATTGAAGGGTGACAGATGAGAGCTCCTGTCACACTGAAACTGAACCCCAAAATAAAAGGAGGCTGATTAATAATTCAAAACCTCTTGCTGCTGTTTTGTATTAATTCTGGTCTCGGAAAACATTGCTTGGTATGGATCTGCAACAGAGGAAATTGATGAAGGTAAAAAAGGCACAAGAATGCAAAAGTTTAACAGCTGTGGACACAAAAACCTCTGCTGCTTCTTAGTCTTTCCACCCCTAAAGATAAGTCTCTTTCTTCAAAAGACAAGATTTTGATGATGTCCTCATTGAATTTATTGATTCCTATAAATATTTGGGTATCTTGGTCGACTCACATCTCTTTTAAGCTCCATGTGGAAAACTTGGTAAAGAAACTGAAAGTTAAACTGGGTTTCTTTTTCAGAAACAGATCCTGTCTAACTCTGAATGCTAGAAAACGCCTTGTATCTGTGACTTTCCTTCCCTCCATTGATTACGGTGACATTATTTACATGAACGCTCCTACAAGAACCCTGCAGATGTTGGATGCTGTCTATCATGGTGCACTAAGATTCATAACTGGCTGTGATTATTGTACTCTCCACTGCACCCTGTATTCACTGGTTAACTGGACACCATTAACTTCACGCAGACTCTCTCACTGGCACATTTTCATCTTTAAATCCCTTCTTGGTCTGCTGCCTTCATACATCTCCTCCTACATGTCTCTGCGTGAGTGCAGCTACAGCGTGCGCTCTCAGGACATTATTGCATGCAGTGTCCCCTCAGTGCGGACTGAACTTGGCAAAAGGGCCTTCTCCTACTCCGCTCCTGTTTCCTAGAATATCTTGCAAAAAGATTTGAAGCTCTCGACCTTGACCTCTCTAAGTGGCTCTTGGCAGGGACCACTGCAGACATGTTCCTGTTTTTAGTTTTCTACATTCGCCTTAGAATCTAGCCGTTTTGTTACTCTTTTTGCCATCCTATTTGTAAAAAAAAAAAAAAAAAAAAATCTATATGCCTTTTTATAACTGTTTATTGTTGTCCACTGTTCTCATCATTCTTTGTTGAAATCAGGTCTCTCTTGTAAATGAGTCCTCGAGTCTCAATGGGATTTACCTGTCTAAGTTGAATGAAAAAGATTTTGTTTGCAGAATGATAAAAAAAATTTAAATAGAAATTTATAATTTTAATATCCTCTTTTGATAGAAACACAGATTGATTTTGCTTCAAGTGTCATACCCGACAACACTCAGTAATGTCCGAATCAGTCAGACTGACAAGAAGACACCCAGGACTGAGTCAGGTTTTGTTTCCTCCAGCCGGGTCAGCATCACTGATTTGTCACACAAAGAGCTGAGCGAGCTCAAACATCATTACATTATTAAAGAGCAATATAGTATTAGTTCACTTCATCAGCGTAACAAGGGCTGACATGGCCAGCAGCCTGAGGGCCAAATGGGACCCAAGCTCATGCTTTTTGATGCGGATGCGAGGCAAAAAGTACATATTTTTTCAGCATAACACTTCCCCACAATTTTATCCAGGGCAGATATTTTGACAAGTTCATCCATCTGACAAGTGATGAATCAACTATTTTGCACAATGTTGTCATGTTGAGGCAAAAGAACAAACAATTAAATCACAGCTCAGAAATTTGCTTTTGTTTTCTGTTTAATAGTTGAGCGAGCATATAACCTTTCACACGTGCCAAGCTTTACTCATCTGTATGCATCAGGTCCCCTAAACTCTCCCATTAGGATCTCACCTTCAGATGATCAAACAGAAGAAGACGAAACAGAATGTGGTGAGCTTTTGTGGCTCTGCTTTTTCCAGTGGCCCTTAAATTTAAAACAATCCCCACAAAAAGAGATAAAATACTAACTTTGGGCAAAAGCTGCACAGTAAACTCAAAGCTAGCAAACTAATCGGCCGTAGCAGAATCAAAATACGAAGCTAAACGGCAGCAATGAAGTTCAGTTGCATGCGGCAGAATCCTCTGATCCGGGTCAGTACAGTCCTGTCACAGGTCGCCTATAAATACTAGATAAACTGTACGGTCTGCTGCATTAAAAACATATGAAGAAAATCCAACGTCGGGACAGAAGGGAAACAGAAACACAGTCAAACATGTGCCGAGTTTCGTTTTTGCTTCTCGATAAGTTTCTGGTTCGAATCACGTGACCAGGAGGACGCCTTCGCTCACATCCTCCTGTCCCGAATGACTACTGAGCTCTCCACAGTACCAGATCAGATTCTCTTTAAAATAAAACATGAGCACAGACCCGAGTCTGACATTTTAGAAGATACAAACACCAGAGTGATATTTTTTTTTTGTTTTTTTTTACAATACTCGTTTCCGTGAACAGGATTGTAGCTACATGCAATTATAACACAAACGTAAACATAGACGTACTACTTTTTATTATGTCTATGGACGTAAACACGTTTCACGAATTTAAAAATGTTATAATATTAATATTTAACTTTATTTCTAACAAGGTTGTTTAAATAAAACTTGTTGTTCTTCGCTGGTGGCTTGAATTGTTTATTTACAGCCCACTACACAACAGGAGTTCTGCACTGTGTATTTGTGTAAGAGAAACCGCACGCGAGACAGATTTCACTTTTTTCCCTAAATATTTTCAGCCTCAGAGAAATGCAGCTTTGATACCTCGTTGCTCGTTTTGACGCGGACTAGTGGAGTATCACGTTTTAACAGCTACAACTTAACAGGACCTTAGAACAAAATGTTAGCCCTTAAACATCTGAAAATGAGACATTAAATTGATACTGGGGGTCGAAAGGCGCCACAGCTAACATTAGCTAGCCTGTTAGCTTCTCTGTAATAGCCGCGCTCGAGCCGTACACCATTTCCGTTCAAACGTCTGCAGCACATTGAGTTCATTCGGTTGTTAACGCGAAACGCCCACGTTCTCCTTCTCTCCAATTCAACAAACGGTTCACAAACAACAAGCGGACTTGAATATTTACCCCGGCTTGCAGTACCCCTCACGCGGCGACTCGATATAGCACTAAAATGCGATGATAGAAACAATCAAAAAACGGAACGTATGCGACACTCGTTTGCGATTGAAACAAACGGAACGCGCGTCGCGTGTGAGTGACGTCACAATACAGGCAAGGTTCCGACATGTTACAGTTGCGTCCTTCGCATTCATGTCGGGATTCCCATTCTCCCTCAAAGAAACTCCTGATGACACGATTTAACCTTTTTGGTTCATGTATTCTAATGTTTTGACCTGCACTTATTAAAGTAAATACAAACTTGTTTGGCGGTTAAAGCAGGTCGCAAGGCTAAATGGGTTCACAGAGTGAAATTAACAGTGTTGGTTTGTTACAGTACAGTTAGATTATGAGAAAATAAACTATTTTTGAGTAGTATTAACTTTGTGTGATTTAAAAGGCTGGTAAAACAATACTTTATGCTTCAAATTTAACTAACTAATTGTCATTTCTGCACAACATGTTTTTTTTTTTACAGATTTTTTTCTGTCTTATTTTGTTTTTGTTCAGTTGTTTTTCATTTTTTCATAATCCCCAATGAAATGTTTGTTTAATAACATACACTTTCTATTGATTGCTGTTATGTTTTATCTGTTAACCCCCACTTGCCAGTATTTAAATTCAATCTGATCATTTACACCACTGTTCTTGTTACTTTTTAGTTTTGTTACTTAATTTTCAAGTTTAGTTATAATTATTTTTCATATTATGTTTGGGTTGAGACTTTAGTTTTGACAGCGTAACAGGTTGTGTTTTGTTTTACAGAAATGTTTTATTTAGAAACCTAAAATTATGTTGCTAATCTCTTAATCTGCCTTAATCTTATCTAAATTCATTATCTTTAGTGTGTCTGGTTTACCATGACAATGTTGCAAAATGAAAACAAATTGTTAAAATCTGCTAGGTAAATGAATAAATGCAAATATAAATGAAATGAAATGCAGTGTGTTTTTAACACTCCATGTATTACATATTTTTCGTTTATAAAAATAATTTCTTTTCAGCTGTGGCTGAGCAGTTAGAGCAGTCGTTCTCCAATGCGAGAGTTGGGTGTTCGATTCCACCAGCAGTCACATGCCGAAGTGTCCCTGGGTAAGACACTGAACCCCTCATTGTCTCCTATGTGTGTCCCATAGGTGTTGGACAGTGATAAAGCTCTGATTATTCTTTGTCTAGAAATATTAAAGTGCGGTATGAATGGGTACATGAAGGCACAGATTGTAGTGT